ATAATTAATATCGATTGTATACAAACAAATAATTTATCGTAGATTATTGCATGAGGGTTAACGCAGCAATGAGAATCATGTCCAATGACGGAACTTATTTCAGCTCTCACCGGTCTCTTACAATGGAACAGACATCAGCCTCCCTAGTCAAGGAATACGTAGTCCCATCACCAATTCTCCAACCTTGGTCAAAATGCCCTATAAACACCCCTTTGCCTATTTTTGCATTACTACAATCGCCAGAGAAAGATTTTCAAGAGACTAAGATAGGACACTTTTCGAAGTCAGTTCAGAAAAGGGCGTTGACGCCAGAAAACATTGAAAGAGTAAGGGCGGCGCTTTTGAAATCCCCTAGGCGATCTACACTCAAACATTCTGTTGCTTTAGGGATTTCTAATCGCACAGTGAGATGAGTTCTTCATGAAGAATTTTCACCCATACAGATTGGCAATGGTGCAATAATTTAATCCGCAAGATTATGTTGCGCGAAAAAATATATGTGAAGCCTTTTTCGAAAATCTGCCTCAGGACGCCCTTGTATTCTTTTGTGACCAAGCACATTTCCATATTTCAGGATCCGTGAACAAACAAAACATGCGATATTAGCGCCCAACAAACCGAGAGAACCTAATGAGCAGCCTCTGCATACAGAACGTGCGACTGTTTGGTGTGCAATATCCAGAATCGGCATTATTGAACCATAGTTCTTTGTAGAGCAGTCACGATTAATTGTGAACGTTATGTCAGCATGATTCAGGATTTTTTTTTGCCCAAACTCAAAGAAATGAATGCAGGGTAGGTATGGTTTCAACAGATAGTGCCACGGCTGCACGACTCACACGGCAAAAAGGTCAATAAATCTTTTGTAGGAACACTTTCCTGAACTGCTCATCTCTCTTAGAGGCGATCTTCAGTGGCCAGCGCGATAGCCAGATTTTGTCCCATGTGACTTTTTCCTATGGGGTTATCTTAAATTTTTGGTGTACACAGATCGCCCAAAGACCATTCGACATCTAAAAAACAATATTCGTGCTGCTATTGCCAACATAGTCATAGATGTGCTAGAAAAAGTAGACAGAAATTTCAAATTACGGCTATCTCGGTGCATTGACGAGGATGAAGGCTACCTTTGAGATGTCGTCTTCAAAACAAAATAAAATAAAACTTTAAATATACCCCTGTATACAGATAAAATAATTAAATCAATACTTTTTGTGTTAAGATTTTTTAAAATAAGGAAGTAACCACACTCCACCCTAAATTTAATAAGAATACGGCAGGACCTCAAATAAACTATACACCAACACAAGTATTAGAAGTTTGCTCATTAGACTTATTAGGACCGCTATGTTGTAATAGGCCCTCCACACATAAACAATTTAGTCTTCCGTTTTCTTCTTATTCATTTCTCAACACATACAGAAATTCTTTTACAACACAATATTTTTTCACATAAAATATAAAACACAATAAACACCGTCTATCCTCTAAAACAGCCAAACACACAACTCCCACACACATCCGCTCCTTCACAACACTTGCAAAAACCCTAAACAATAACATATCATAAAAAAACATAAAAATGTAAAACACAATGAGAGCTGGACGATAATTATACACATCCGTGGAAGGGGGCCCGAGGAATGCATTAAGAATATCCCTAGGCACATAGTTCTCGTCCTGTTTCTCGATCTAATCGACATACGAACACGTCGCGATTATCGTCCGGCTCTCTTTCGCCTACCCTTAAAATTTGTAAAAATACTTTTTAAACCAATAGTGCTTGTAAAAACTGATTATACCTTTTATTGTATGATTTTTACCTTTAAACCAGTTTTGTATTGTTTCTTTTTTTTCTATTACTGTTTCATATGTTTATAATAAAATAGTCAAAGATATTATATACAAATTAGTTATTCTAACTCATGTATTCATTATTGTTCCACAAGTAAATAACTGTATCAATAAAGGATTATTTAATAAATAAGGTTTAATAATTAAATAAGGTTTCTTCGATTACAGAGGCGTTGTGCACGCAGAATTTTTTCCTCCAGGCTAAACGGTCAACTAACATTTCTACTTGGAGGTTTTGAAAAGATTGAGATAGAACATCCGGAAGGGCGGAGCTTTGGCGCACAGGGGATTGGTTCTTCCACCATGACAATGCACCTGCCCACACAACGCTGTCCGTGAAGCGATTTTTGACGAAAAACGGCATGACACCGATTGTGCACCAACCTCTATTCACCGGACCTTGCCACTTGTGATTTTTTTATGTTCCCTAGACTCAAAAGGGACATGAAAGGAAAACGTTTTGAGACTGTAGAAGAAGTGAAACAAAAATCGCTGGAAAGTATAAAAAACATGACAAAAAATGAATTTCAAAACTGTTTTGAACACTGGAAAAAACGATTGAACAAGTGTATTAGTCAATGGAGGTTACTTTGAAGGTGATACAAATTTGGTGTAAAAAAATATGTAAATAAAAAAGTTTTAACACAATTCCCGTTGTTTTGGGTGCTCCCCCGTATGTACTAGCCATTATTGATACGTTTTCAAAATATGTAAAATTGTATGCTCTTAAAAGAACCACTACAATGGCTATATTAAATAGAATAATAAAAGAATATATAGGTAAAGGAGGTCTCTCCGAAATAAATTTTAGTAGATAATGGTACATAATTTCAATCTAAAAAATGGAAAGAATGTGTAAGTATTGTAGGAGTTGAATATAAATTTACCGCAAAATATAGCCCTCAAAGTAACCCAATAGAACGTACAAATAGGGAAATAGGCAGAAATTTTGTCGAACGTTTTGTCACATACAACATACTAATTGGACTAACTATTTAGAACAAACAGAATGTTGGCTTAATCATAGTATTTCAGACACAACTAATAAGGCACCCTGAGAGGTATTTAAAAAGAAACCACCCATAAGACCGATAAAACAAATTATTAATTTCCCTGAAATAAAAATAAATGAGGATATAATAGAAATAATTAGAAAAAATATAAGGGATAATGCAAAAAATAGAATGGCAAATTCGATAGTATAAATCTTTTATTAATTATTACGAGCATCAGTTGGTATTAGTTAAAAATTATAACTATTCATCGGCTATGAAGAGGGAAGTAAAAAAAATTTTTCTTTTATATAAGGGACCTTATAAAATAAAAAAAAGTTAGGCGAAAATACCTTCCTAATTTGTGATTTACAGATTCCTGAGAAAGACAGCATCCAAAACGTTAGACATTTGCGTCCATACTACTGTTTGTATGATGAACAAACTTCCAGTATTGTCCGTGGAAATATATGAGAGGATGGAGGGCTTAATGGGGCGACATTATAACGAATGAAAAAATATTAACTATGAAAATATCCAATTAGAAAAAACGCAACTGAATAAATTACCGGAGGTAAAAGAAAACAATTTTAATAGAGAATATGTATTCGAACAATTAAATCAAGACATGATTATGGTCAAAAGAAAAGAAAACAACAAAGTCAGAGATATAAATAAACTTACAGTAGAAGCTGAAAGAATAAAAAATCAAGGATTGTTCGTGGACCTCTTCTAATTTTCGATTACGAAAATTTAGAATCCTTACCAGAGCTGAAACTAATCTCGGATATCAATATAAGCGATACTACGGATCAAGTAAACAATGATATACAGATTTTGAAAAAAAATTCTACCAAAAATGACCTCACACAACCGGATAATGAGGATAACAATAAAATACGAAAAAAATTAGTAAACATTATCTCGCATAACAAGGAAAACAACGACCAAAATATAGGATAAATAATTAAAAATATGTTGTGGTCAAGTGATAATTTAATATTGAATAATGAATAACAACGCCGTGTTTAACTTTTACTTTATACTATATTGTAACTTATTATACATAAGAACATAAAAAAACAATATCGGTTCCAGAGGAAGTACTATATTCACAATATGTGTTGTTATATTAATAATATATGCTTGTTGCATCACCAGACCGGTTCTCCTCACCCGCGATCACTCGGCGTCGCGCGACCTGTCGGACGAGGAGAGGTAGCTGTGTCGCAGTCGCCATCCAGCGGTAAAGCCGGAAGTGCAATGCGACCGCGTCATACTCCCCCCCCAAAATTTAAAATCCCTTATATCCGAACGACAACATTAAGCCAGAATCATGAACACCGATAAGAAAAAGCAAAAGCAAACATCTCAAACCAGCGAACAAGAAGACAAAGACATGAATGATGAAGTTAAATCTTTGCAAGTACCTCATAAGCCAGACAACTTTGTGCCAACAACACTAGTGACCGTAGCCGATTCAATAGACGTTAAAGAAAGAAAAGCAGAAGTGTTTAGATTGATTCAGCTTATAGCATGGCCTTGCCAGATGGCGCCTAAGCGCAATAGCGCGCGCCGGCGGCCACTGTGCGGAGCGGACAGGTGGGTGGGTTACCGCACGTGTCGTCGTCGTCGGAAAGAGGAAAGGAATTCCTCTTTCGAGCAAGCACCAAGCCGGAGCCAGTTGGCCGCCGTAGTTAAGCGCGGATGGGTGACCGTTGTTTACGCGCNAATGTGTTTTCTTTACAAATAAACCGGCAATTAATTAGGAGCACACCTGGTATAAGAGCGCATGTAGCGCAGAGTACTCAATGAGTTCAGCGCTCTTCTTTAAGACTCACTGTGCTTTACGCTTTTTATGTTTAATTTTTTTCGTCGTTCACCTAATAATGGACAATTTATTGAAGGCAACGCCAACCGCAGAGAAAACCGAAAAACTGTTGGAACGGATGACGGCTCAGAAAGCATGTTCACGAGAAGGGTCCAGGGAAGGCTCCGTCGATTTAGTGAAACCTCTACGTGGCAGTCAGATGACATTGCAAGTGACCAGTCCAGTCAAAAAAATTCGTCCACCGACGAAGAAACCGATTGTGAAACGTCAACAGTCTGCGAAAGCGGTGATGATGAAGAAATACGAACGGGAGACAAATCGGGTGTCGGTCAGTCCGGACATGGAATGTGGTCAGGTATGTCTTTTTTTTTTTTTTTGTGACACATACATTTATACGACGTTTTTTGTAGCGTTTTCGGATGTCTCCTCCTCCTCAGACAGTATCTCAGAAAGATCCGTCCAGAGGATGGCCAGACGACTTAATAGAACTACGCGAAAAATTGTTAAGCCGTACGAGAGACGAGGCACTCGAACTCATACAGAGAGATCTACCGTACGATTCCTCCATGATGGCGACGGTCGCCAAACTCTTGTATTTCCTAAACGAAACGGAACACAAAATACCGACGGCAGTGTACGTACTGGTTCTATGGCTTCTGTCCGACGATTGGAATATAATGATACCAAAAACTTGGTTAGCGACCACGGTACCGGCTACTTTAACTCAGATCGACCTAGACGACACTACAGAGCCGTTTGAGGCGATCATGAGTTCATTGTTGGCCAAAATGAGGAAGCGTATGACCAAGCATTGGAGGAATATTCCGGTCGAATCGCTGCTTCGAGTTCTACAGACGGCAGAACTCGTTACAGGTCATGGGTTCTCGTGCCTACTGGACCTGGAGCAGTTCGCCGATCAGTTGATGAGCTCTCAAATATGGTGCAGCGGTTCGATAGAACCAGCGGGCGTCACGATTCAACCATCATTGTCTCGACACACGACGACCACATCCACGTCGCGCACACCTGTCCTAATAAAAACGGAGCTTGTAGGTGGCGTGGTGGAAAGCGTCGTCGTACTCCGGTCGATTCCTCCGACGGGAACTCCGACGCCGAAGCGGAGTGTCTCATCTCACGAAAAGCGATTGGCAGGCAATCCTGGTAAGTACACCATACTGTATTTGATAATACAATTTTAGTAACCCAACCGCACATGTCGTCGTCGTCGGAAAGAGGAAGGAAATTCCTCTTTCGAGCAAGCACCAAGCCGGAGCCAGTTGGCCGCCGTAGTTAAGCGCGGATGGGTGACCGTTGTTTACGCGCATGATAAGTAGCTTTGGCGGTCACGCGCTGAATATATAAGAGCGTCGGTAGCACAGCGTATTCAATGACTGCAGTGCTCTGAGACGACGTTCACTCACCGCACTCTGCGTTGTATATGTTTGATTTTTTATTTCGTTTGAAGAACAATGGACAATCTATTGAAAACACAACAGACGACGGACAAAACCGACAAGTTATTGGAACGGATGACGACTCCGAAACCATGTTCCAGAGAGGGTTCACGAGAAGGATCGGTCGACTTGGTGAAACCGTTGAAAGGCAATCAAATGACGTTGTCAGTAACGAGTCCTGTGAAGAAATCTCGTCCCCCGATCAAGAAACAGACTTTTGCGAAACGTCAACAGTCGGCGAAAGCAGCTGTGATGAGGAAGTACGAGCGGGAAACAAGTCGGGTGTCGATCAGTCCGGATATGGAATGTGGTCAGGTATGTTCGTGTTGTATATCAGTAGTAGTTCTTTTAGTTATTATTTTTTTTATTAATAGCGGTTTCGGATGTCTCCTCCGCCTCCTCAGACAGTGTCTCAGAGAGATCCGTCCAGAGGATGGCCAGAAGACTTGATCGACTTACGAGAAAAAGTATTGCACCGTACTCGAGACGAAGCGGTGGAAATAATCCAACGGGAACTGCCGTACGATTCTTCAATGATGGCGACAGTCGCCAAACTGCTTTATTTTCTCAACGAAACCGAGCACAGAATTCCAACCGCTGTTTACGTATTAATCCTGTGGCTTCTGTCGGACGACTGGAATATCATGATTCCAAAAACTTGGTTGGCATCCACGGTTCCGTCAACAATAACTCAAATCGAACTAGACGACACTACCGAGCCGTTTGGAGCGATCATGAGTTTATTGTTGGCCAAAACGTGGAAGCGTATGACCAAGCACTGGAGGAATATTCCAGTAGAATCTTTGCTACGAGTTCTTCAGACGGACGAACTCGTTACAGGTCATGGGTTCTCGTGCCTGTTGGACCTGGAGCAATTCGCCGATCAACTGATGAGCTCGCAAACATGGTCCAACGTTTTGACAGAGCCAGCAGGCGGTCCGACTCCACAATTATCGTCTCGACGCACGACGACCACATCCACGTTGCGCACACCTGTCCAAATACAAACGGAGCTTGTCGGTGTGCGTGGTGGAAAGCGTCATCGTTCTCCGGACGTTTCCTCAGACGCCGAAGCGGAGTGTCTCATCTCCAGAAAAGCGATTGGCAGGCAATCCTGGTATGTACATCATGTATAGTATCAAACGTATAGTACTATGTTTTTATTTTTGTAGGGATATTTTAGTGGACAAGGAAGGTCTGTCGTCCTCCTTGTCATTGGAGGTCGACCCGTTAGACCTTTGCTACGAGGTGAGACTGTATCGGCGTCAGGATATCCGGAATGTGGAGAAAAAGGAGTTGTGGAAGCATGCGATTCTTCATTTGAAGGGGACGTGCCTCCAGAACTCCGAGGACCACAATTTTCTGAGAAAATTGACGAAAGCGACACTGCGGCAGATCAAGTCCAGCGGGGAAGAGTTCAAGATCGTCCCCAAAAGACGCCGAGATTAACCAAGGAAAATATTCGTATAGCTTTTAATAATTTACTCCGTAGTCATCCTACTTCTCCTCCGTCCTGTATTTTTAGAACTCCCGAATACTTTAATAATCCTCTGTTTAATGATTTACACGCACAACATATATTAGCTACCAATGCTATAGATAAATGGTGCGGTGTGTTAAATCATTGGACTATGGAGGATTATAATGTTTTTTATTCAAATCCGGCTTGTACACCTTATTTTAATAGTTATCAATACAGTGTACACAACGCGTATTATTCCGTTGAATACTCTGTTATCGTAGCTAATCGTCTTTTAATGTTTCAATTTTCCGACGATTCTACTGCCGTTGGAGAATTTTTACAAACTCTGTATAACGTATTGAACAAAAAAATTCCAAAGTTAAATACTATATTAATTTTATCGCCAACAAGTGCAGGGAAAAACTTCTTTTTTGACGCAGTCTGTTCGTATTTTTTAAATTATGGGGTAATCAGCAAACTAAATAGATTCAATACATTCGGATACATGGAAGTGGCCGATAAACGGGTGGTAATGTGGAACGAACCTAATTATGAATCGTCGGAAATTGAAAAATTAAAAGAATTGTTAGGAGGTGATACGTGTCGAGTTCAGGTAAAGTTCAAGGGAGATCAAACGGTACAAGGACCTCCTTTTATTATTTTAACGAACAATTATATCCCGTTAATTAATGATTCCACTTTTAAACATCGTATTCGGTGTTATCGATGGAGAACTGCGACCTTTTTAGCCGAATACGATAAAAAATTAAATCCATTAATGTTGTTTCCATTATTAAAGCTGTACGATATTATTATGTAAAATAAATGTATAAATAATTGTGAACTCATTAGATAACCTAATGTCTATAATAAAAAACACATTGTTGTGTATGTAAACGGTTTATTAATAAAACTATAATTAACATAATGACTTTGAAACGACTTTGCTTTGTTAAAAGTTATTTTACAGTAGTCATAGCATATCTATCCATCCACGTGCTTAATGTGGGATCGTTGATTAATGACGTACCACCCCATGCAAATTCTCTAATAGTTTCTGAATGCGTAACATTAGGTTTTTGTGCTCTACACATATCGTTTGGCATTCCAAACGCTACAGTACATTCAACCGCAACATCCCATAATGCTTCTACGTCTGTCCATTTAGACGGTATTAATCTATTTTCAGTAGTGGTCATTTTTGGAACTGGATAAATTCCCACATGTAAAGACGGTTGAGCTTTAGGATTACTTCTATCTGTTTTTTTATGGTAATAAGCAGACAAATCTAATACGTCGATGTACCGTTCTTTTTCTATTTTTTTCCATATTCGTGTTTTTTCGCTGTATGTAGTGATATCCGTGTATTCATACGCAGAAGTTTTATTAATGGCGTTCGTTTCTGTAGGTGTTTTATTTGTAACAATATTAACCGCTACCCCTTCGGAAGTTCCGATATCAGTATAAGCTATTTGTTCGGGATGTAAATACGACGCACAGTGTGGTATAGGTTCACTCAAATAACCGTATTGCGGTTCGTATTCATAGTACACGATACGATCACCAATAAAGTGACTGGCATCAAATTTATTGATATACTTATTTAAACGTTGCCATGTATATTCACCAGCGCCTTTAACTTGCCTGTGATACAGTGTATAATAATGCGTTAATATAGACGGTAAATTCATAAACGAAGTCGGTAATGTATCCACAAACGCCCCATCGTCATCAAGGGTACCGTACCATACGTCGTGTTGTTTTTTGTAATCCATATCGGTTTTGATACTATCTACTTGCATGGGTTCAGTAGCATTAAAGCTATAGGACCTATTAACTCCTGTAGTGTTAACATTGAGACCAATAGCATAAACACCAAATTTGTTTTGATTTAACGTAGCCAGTGACGACGATGTCGACGCAGTTTCAAACGCTGTACGTGGATTTCGCATAACAACCGTACATTTTACATTTACTATTCTGGCGCCTCGGGGCATTTGATCGACTTCTTCTTTAGTCAAATATAAATGCACTCTATCTACGGGTATTTCAGCTAAGCTCGTGGAGGCAAAATGACTGTCTCGAGCAACGTCCGCAGGAACAGGCTTAATAAGCCACGCAATTCCGTAGCTAACGAATTGATGATTTTTTCGAAAAACCGCGGTGTACCCGACAGTGTTGTCAAAAGGACGGGGTATTGTAGCAAATGCAATAATAGGATTACCAGTATCGGCATCGCCAGCCGCCTCATTAGCCGTTCCAGGCAATTCCGTTTTTGCTTTTTTCGTTGGTGGTTCTCCCATAGCTGAAGCTTCTCTTCCACTTGCTTTATATTCGTTAAGGGATCGTGCTCCTGATGTTCCTCCCGCTTTCGTTCCTCCAGTAGCTGCTCTGTCCGGCGTTGTTGTTGAGACAGTCGGTGGCATTCCAGACACTGCATCTATAAAAGTAGAACCTTTGTAATACACCGGTGCCCAACCTCGCCGTAAGCGCGCTAAATTATGTTGTTTTACAGAATACGCGCGTTGCGACACGTTAATAGAACACCACTGTTTACGGAACCACGGTTCTTTATCTAACCAACGCATAGCACTTACTCGGATCGACTGGTGGCGCTGTTCGCGGTAATTCTCCTCTGCGTCTAGAAAGTTTACGGAACCACGGTACTGGCGCTGTTTGTACCGGCATAGACGGATATAAAGCAGTTCCTTGTCCACTGATGCTTTCCCATGTACGTTCTGCTCCTATTTTAACACCTAAACCCACGGCAGCTGCTACGTTTCCGTACCATGGATCCACTGTATTTATAGCGTGTTTTATCATTGACCAGTCAATAGTATTAATATTTGAAATGGACGTATCCGTAGCATTGGCATATGCTACATCATGTTCCAATGCTTCCCAATCTAATTGTTTCTGAGGTAATCGAGTTCCAATAAATTTATTTCCCGAATTAACTTTATTACCAGGACCAGTATAATCGGAATTAAACCATGTTATTCCGTCGTTACCGCCTGTTTTTACGTTATCCGCTATATATTTTTGTTGTGTATATACGGACGGATATTTTATTCCATACACAGGAGGTGCTACCAGAAAACACTGTCATACCTAGAGATGCCATTATAAACAACGGTCACCCATCCGCGCTTAACTACGGCGGCCAACTGGCNGGACGGATATTTTATTCCATACACAGGAGGTGCTTTATTAATACCAGAAAACACTGTCATACCTAGAGATGCCATTATAAACAACGGTCACCCATCCGCGCTTAACTACGGCGGCCAACTGGCTCCGGCTTGGTGCTTGCTCGAAAGAGGAATTTCCTTCCTCTTTCCGACGACGACATGTGCGGTACCCACCCACCTGTCCGCTCCGCACAGCGGCCGCCGGCGCGCGCTATTGCGCATATGCGCCATATGGCAGGGCCATGCTTTGTGCGGTTAGGTTATCATCTCATCTAGATCTAGGTTAGGTCTCATCTCACGAAAAGCGATTGGCAGGCAATCCTGGTAAGTACACCATACTGTATTTGATAATACAATACTAAGTTTTCAAAATTACAGGGATATTTTAGTGGACAAGGAAGGTCTGTCGTCCTCCTTGTCATTGGAGGTCGACCCGTTAGACCTCTGCTACGAGTTGAGACTGTATCGTCGGCAGGATATACGAAATGTGGAGAAAAAGGAGTTGTGGAAGCATGCGATTCTTCATTTGAAGGGGACATGCCTCCAGAACTCCGAAGATCACAACTACTTACGAAAACTGAAGAAAGCAACTCTGAGGCAAATCAAGTCATAACCTCGAAAGAAGTTAAAGAAGCCAAATATTTTGCTATTCTTGCAGATGAGACAAAAGACGTGAGCAAAACTGAGCAGTTATCTATTATGGTTCGTTATTATCATAATAACACAATGAATGAACGATTTTTAGGGTATGTTCCTTGTAATGAATTAAATGCGAAGGCTCTTTTTGATTACATAAATAAAACACTGTCAGACTGTGGAATAAATATTAAAAACTGTATAGCTCAAACTTATGACGGTGCAAATGTAATGAGTGGTAAACAAAACGGGGTTAGGTCAATTTTTCAACAGCATGTTCCTCAAGCACTTTACACACATTGTTTTAATCATAGATTAAATTTAGTAATTGTTGATGTATGTAAAAATATACCTGAAATAGAAAAATTTATTACTCTACTTCAACAATTGTACAACTTTATTAGTAGGTCAACTGTTCATATTAAATTCATAGAACTTCAAAATAAATTATTACCGAAAAAACAAATTATGGAACTAAAAAGGATTTGTGAAACTCGATGGATATGTCAAATTTCTGCTTGTATCGCTGTAAAAAAAACATTTCCTGTGATATTACTTTTATTACATCAAATAAGCCTAGAATCCAAGAGTGAAAAAGAAATGGAAGCTAAATCACTATTATTTCACATTAATTTTGAATTTATATTTTGTCTCTACTTATTTTGTGACACATTTAGTGAGATAAAAATTGTGTTAGATTATTTACAAAAACCAGATTCAGATTTGGGTTCTAGCTGTCTACTAGTAGAATCATTAATTAATTACCTTATGGAATTTAGAAACACCTCAAACAAGTTTGAAGATCTTTTGACAGAAGTGGAATTATGTGCACAAAAAAATAATATTCAACTTCCTAATGAAACAGTTAAAGAAACAAGGATTCGCAAACTTCCTAAACAATTTTCATCATATATAACTGAAGTAACAACTTCTGAAAGTAGAAAAATTAGTAATAATAACGATATAGAAACAATGATATTTTTTCCAGTCCTTGATAGAATGGTTAGTGAACTCAATAGAAGATTTTCAGATCATAGTGAAATTTTAACAGGTATCAGCGCCCTTATCCCAAAATGTGACACATTTTTAAATTTTACAAATATCAAACCGTTAGCTGAACACTATAAATTAGACATAGAAAGCTTAGAATCAGAACTAACACTAATTACAAAACTGATTAAGCGACATGAAGCTGAAAACGGTATTCAGATAAAAACAATTCTTGATTTTATGCAGTTACTTGAAAAATATAAATTAGCGTTTTCTGAAATGTATATACTCTGTATTATTTCTATTATCATTCGACCATCTAGTGCTGGAGTTGAAAGAACTTTCTCCAGTTTAAGACAAATTAAAAATTACATGAGAAATAAAATGACTAATAAAAGGCTTTCAAATATAGCAATTTTATCTATAGAAAAAAAAATTGCTAAGAATTTAGATTTGGAAGTTGTTGTGGATAAATTTGCAGCTATTCACAAAAACCGAAGAATATTATTAACTTGAATAAATGTTTGATGTAAAAAAACAGTGTTCAATTTACTTATTATTTTAAAAATTTTTAATTAAATAATAATATTGTATAAGATAAATTTACTTCATACATTTTTAATTATACATTTTGTTTAAATGTCTAATTAATATAAAAAGGATTTCATAGAGTATTTATATTTTAATGACCTATGAATTATTATAACATCTTACAAAGTTAGTACTTAAATGTGTACACTTAACACCAACTATTTAAAAATTTATTTGATTGGAAATTTGAAATCTACTTATTAAATATTTGGTAGGTTATCACCAGTTTTTATTTTAAAAATATTATTTTTGCTGGTATTGGTACAAGATTTTCAACCATTTACAACATGGTGCATTATTAGGTATAGTGTGAAATATCAAAATTTAGTTTATTTGATATATTTGCTACTACTCAATAAATTCAAAAATTAATTGAATGTATTATTAATCATAGTCATTGAATTAATGAAATTAATAACATTTTCATGATGAATGAACAACATTCAGATAGAATAACATTTTTAGTTTTTTATAGATAAACCTTATAGTATTGCCTAATGAGAAAAATTATTTCCTAAAATTTCAATCAAATATATTTTAATATATTTCTAATATTTTCATTTGTAAAGTGAGAAAAAATATTTTATTCATTTATTATTACATTTATTGAGTACTAATTATTGGATGAAAATAAAGAAACAAAGGTTAAATTTGAGTTAAATCAATTCATCTGTTCAATACTAAATACAATTATTTTAATTTATATTTATAAAATATAAGTTAAAGAAGCTTAATCATTCAGTCACTAAGGTATGTGAAATTAAAGAAACTTGTCTGTTATTATACATTTTCTTATATTAGATAGAAATATTTGACAGTATTCTTCAACAAATTTTAACTATTTAAAACTTTGTACATACTATTTATTTATATTTTATTTAAATGGTCCGAGTACTTTCTGAAACACTTTAGCCCATGGAATAAAAATATTTGCCCCGCTCTGCCCCCCCTAGAAAAAATTGCTAGTGCCGTGCCTGGCTGAGTGTAGGATTATTAACCAATGCCGTACCTCCCCATTGAAATTCACGAATAGTTTCTCCGTGCGTAACATTTGGTTTTTGAGCTCTGCACATATCGTTGGGCATTCCGAAAGCCACTACACATTCTACTGCGACGTCCCATAAAGATTCTGTCAATGCGTTGTACACTCTCTTACGACGTTTAACCGTTACACGTTTGTGTTATATGTTGAATTTTTTTCGTCATTTTACAAAGTATGGACAATTTGTTGAAAACAACTGCACCAACAGAGAAAACAGAAAAATTACTGGAACGTATGACTTCTCAAAAGCCATGTTCCAGAGAAGGCTCGGTGGATTTGGTAAAGCCGTTGCATGGCAGTCAAATGACTCTGCAAGTGACGAGTCCTGTAAAGAAAATGCGACCGGGGACGAAGAAAACAACTACGAAACGTCAACAATCGGAGAAACTAGCGACGATGAGGAAATACTAGCGGGAAGTAAATCGGGTGTCGCTCAGTCCGGACATGGAATGTGATCAGGTAAAAAATATATTTTATTTACAACTTGGTGTGGATATCATAGTACTCTGTATTTATAGCGGTTTCGGATGTCTCCACCTCTAGCGACAGTGTGTCAGAAAGATCCGTCGAGAGGATGGCCCGACGATTTGGTGCAGCTACGCGAAAAACTGTTGCACCGTACAAGAGACGAGGCATTAGAACTGATACAAAGAGAACTCCCGTACGACTCGTCGATGATGGCCACCGTCGCGAAGTTACTGTATTTCCTGAACGAGACGGAGCATCGCATACCGACGGCCGTTTTCGTTCTAGTCCTATGGCTGCTTTCGGAGGACTGGAATATAATGGTTCCCAAAACTTGGACGTCGGCCACGTTGCCCGACACACTAACTCAGATCGACCTAGACGACACTACCGAGCCGTTTGGAGCGATCATGAGTTTGTTGTTGGCCAAAACGTAGAAACGTATGACCAAGCATTGGCGCAATATTCTAGTCGAATCTCTGCTGCGAGTTCTACAGACGGCCGAACTCGTTACAGGTCACGGGTTCTCGTGCCTGTTGGACCTGGAGCAATTCGCCGATGTGTTGATGAGCTCGCAAGTATGGTGCAGAGGTTTGATCGAACCAGCGGTTGAAAAGACGCCACTATTATCGTCTCGACACACGACGACCACATCCACGTCGCGCACACCTGTCCTAATACAAACGGAGCTTGTAGGTGTGCGTGGTGGAAAGCGTCGTCGTACGCCGGTCGATTCCTCCGAAGGGAACTCCGACGAAGAAGCCGAGTGTCTCATCTCACGGAAGGCGATTGGAAAGCAATCTTGGTAATAACATATTACTTTATACTGCTTCAGTGCATTATTACAGTGTGTTTTTGTTTTTATAGGGATATTTTAGTGGACAAGGAAAGTCTATCGTCCTACTTGTCATTGGAGGTAGACCCGTTAGACCTTTGTTACGAGGTGAGGCTTTACCGTCGGCAGGACATTCGAAATGTGGAGAAAAAGGAGTTGTGGAAGCATGCGATACTTCATTTGAAGGGGACGTGCCTCCAGAACTCCGAGGACCACAACTACCTCAGAAAACTTACGAAAGCGACGTTGAGACAGATAAAATCCAGCGGGGAGGATTTCAAGTGCGTTCCCAAAAGACGCCGCGAATGACAAAGGAGAATATACGTCAAGCCTTTAACGATCTGTTGCGTTCGCACCCAACCTCCCCACCGTCTTGTATTTTTCGGACTCCAGAATATTTTAATAATCCGTTGTTTAATGATTTACACCCGCAACATATATTGGCGTCTAACGCTATAGATAAGTGGTGTGGTGTTTTAAATCATTGGACAATAGAAGATTATAATATTTTTTACTTGAATCCAGCGTGTACGCCGTATTTCAATAGTTATCAGTATAGTGTACATAATTCGTACTATTCCACCGAATATTCCGTCATAATTGCCAATCGGTTACTGATGTTTCAGTTTTTCGACGATTCCGCTTCGGTCAAAGAATTCCTTCAGACATTGTATAATGTTTTAAATAAAAAAATCCCAAAACTAAATACCATTTTGATATTATCGCCTACTAGTGCCGGCAAAAATTTTTTTTTTCGATGCAGTCTGTTCATATTTTTTGAATTACGGCGCCATTAGTAAATTGAATAAATATAACACTTTTGGGTATATGGAAGTGGCGGATAAAAGAGTGGTATTATGGAATGAGCCTAATTATTAAACATCAGAAATCGAAAAATTAAAAGAATTATTGGGCGGCGACACGTGTAGGGTTCAAGTAAAATTTAAAGGAGACCAGACGGTTCAAGGACCTCCGTTCATTATACTAACCAATAATTATATACCATTAATTAATGACAGCACATTTAAACATCGTATTCGGTCTTATCGATGGAAAACAGCCGCCTTTTTGGCCGAGTACGATAAAAAATTAAATCCGTTAATGTTATATCCATTATTAGAATTGTACGACGTAATTATGTAAATACTTATGAACTCATTATGTTATCAGTGTAATATAGATTAAATACAGACAAAGTACATGTAAACACTTAATTAAAATATACTTATTATAATTATATGACATTCAAATGACTTTGCTTTGTATTATAAATTTATTTTAAGTTACTGTAGTCATTGCATATTTATCCATCCACGTGCTCAACGTCGGATTGTTAACCAAAGATATACCGCCCCATGAAAATTCTCGAATTGTTTCGCCGTGCGTTACATTGGGTTTTTGAGCTCTGCACATATCGTTGGGCATTCCGAAAGCCACTACACATTCTACTGCGACGTCCCATAAAGCTTCTGCGTCGGTCCATTTAGACGGTATTAAACGATTTTCCGTAGTCGTCATTTTAGGTGCTGGATATATGCCAACATGTAAGGACGATTGTGCTTTCGGATTGCGTCTATCTGTTTTTTTATGATAATAAGCCGATAAATCGATTAGATCTGTGTTGTTCCCCATTGAAATTCTCGTACGGTTACACAACGGTCACCCATCCGCGACGAACAACGGCGGCCAATGCAATCCCGACTAGGTACTTGCTCAAAAGAGGAATTTCTTTCCTTTTTCCGATGACGACGACATGTGCAGTACCCACGCACCCGCGCGCTATGTGGCAAGGCCATGCCTTGTTAGAAAAAATGATGTGCGTTAGAAAAAATTTGTAGTGATAGGCTATATATAGAAATAATTCTCATGTAAATTTCAGAATTTATATCCATTCGCAAAAGTCAGGAAAAATCGTAGAAGCTTAACCTCGCTATCTTACTCAGCCATTCCCTACATTAGGTTCTTCTTAAGTGAGACATGATGTAGGATAGTCATAAATTGTATCTTAATTGTAAACAATTATAATTTATATTTTTTCAGATTTTCATTTTATTTTTTTAATCTCCTGACAACACATTAAATTTATACCTATAAAAATTAAGTTAATTTAATATATTTTGTATATATTCAGTGTTCTGTAAGTAAGGAAACAGGTTATTTGTTTGAAACATTGAGAACAAGAGAAACCAGTTTCCTTACTTACAGAATACTATATATTTAAATTTAATGTTGAAACAGGGAGATTAAGGAGATGAAATAAAAATTTGAAATAATGTGGATCATGTCTTATTTAGGACCATCCTAATATTTTTTTACAATCAAATATAGAGAAATCACACCTAATCTAACAATTTAAGCAAAAATTTACTTGCGAGATATAAATAATTCAAATAAGAATGATATGATTAAAATTTTAAGTTGTTCGACAACTAGTTACTCTAAATGCAAGACGCAAGAAAAATTCAGAGTACCTTTATGTTGGTTGGGTTTTATGACATTAACAGGATTTTAAAATAACACCTAGTTATAGGTATTATGTTTAATTAAAAATTAATAGTTACTTTACTTTATTATTTTACTATACTTGGATTATTTTTATAATTTTAAAAATTTTTAAATCATTTGTTCATACTTTTTGAAATCTTTTTTTTTTTAAGGTTTTTATAGGTCATCAATTTCCAAGCTCTAATTATAACCTTAAAGTACTTACTTTATAAAAGATAATCTCAAAGGGTTTGATGGACATGTGTGAACGACCCTAAGGGTTTGATACTTAAGGGAAATATTAATTTTATATTTTTTTTGCATAAACTAGACAAACCAAAAAACCTATAATTCTAGTACGCTACAATTTTTGGACGTAAATCAAATATAAGTAAAAAATGGAGGGGATTAATACAGGTAACTCTATTACATTATAATAATATATCAACATACTAAAATGCAAACAACTATATTGTATAGATAAAAATAATATAAAAAAATATTTTGAAAATAATTTATTCATATTTTTAATCTAATTCTTATAATTATTTATTTCTTTTATATATATATGTATATATAAAAATTGTTTTACATTGAGAAACTGCAAGAAATTAGCGTAGTTTTGTTTCATTAGTTACTGAAATTTGTATTACTCTAAACGCACATACTTCTCTACCCGGTAGAAGAAATATGTCATCATGTAAACAAACAAATTGATATTTTTATATCATAACTACAGAACAATTTTTATGTTATTTTAAAATAAGTTTTAAATCACTGTCGATTAATGAATTGAAAATTTTAAGTTGTTATATTTAAAAGTAACATGTAGAGCTTAAAGGACTGATGAAGAATTTTAATTCCAGCACAATTACAAAAAATTAGTAGCCTTATATATTTTATACCAAGATCTAAACCAATCCAATTAAAACTTATTTTCAAAAATAGGAACTAAAAAAATTTCAAACCACCAAATTATTATATAATTATCATTATAAGGTTTTGGGACATAGACAAAGTTTATTATTCAAAGAATAAATTAGCTATGATAAGGCCATGGATACAATAAAATTATATGTAATGTCCTTAATTAATGGGAAATTTTCCTTAATGAAAATTTTTTGTCAAATAATAATTGTTGAAAAACTTTTAATCAATCAATTAAAAAGTTGATTAGAATTATGGTAGACTTAAAACTTTTTTTTAGATTCACATTTTGTATGATCTTTGCATGGATTAATACTTTGAATATTAATTATACATATTCTTAGGAGAAGATGTAAAACACAATAAAGGGGGTTCAGACTTTATTCATACTCTATGTAACTTAATAGCCATTTTATAAACCTTTATGTTGATTATCTTAGATAATATATATATATATATATATAGATTATCTTAGATAATATATATATATATGTAGTATCATCAAAGCAAAACAAATGATTAAGTCAAAGTAACAATTATTAATAACCTTACAAGCTAATGAATTCATAAGCATAAATGTATTTGATGAAGTTACTATTTTAGTATTTAAATTTACACTTGAAATGTACACAATTCCAATGACAGTACATAAATTGTATAATGAAAAATAATGACATTAAATTATTTATAAATTTTACGAAAGCAAACTTTTTAAATATTAGGAAATACTAGAAATTAAAAACAATCAACAGAAATTTAAAGCACTTCTATTAGAAGTATTAAATGTACATAACCTCAAATAAACTTGATGAGATACATACCAAAAAAAGCTTTTTTAAGATCTAGTAACTGAAAATGCGAATGGTTTACTGACCAATTATATAAACTATAAATTTGATTTTAAATAAAATACATAAATAACATATGGAATTAATAAGCCAATAATTAATCACCAATTAATAAAATAAATAATTATTAATAAGTAGCAATTTGTACCTCTATAATAGTTCTTTCTGGTATCTGAAGTTGAATGTGAAAATTCTTTGAACTCTTCATAAATTATGTTGTAGTTGATATTTTGATCTGGTTAGTATTTGTAAAGAGATAACTCCGTGTCATGTATGATAGTATATATTTTACATGAAAAAAGCTGATATATTGTTTGAAATATCAAACGATAATTAAGACATGTTTGGAATACAGTTAGTATTGCAAAGGAATTTTTTTTTTTTTTTAAATTCGTTTCTGTTCATGACTGAAATATCACATTACCATGATATTAAAAACGATTAAAAGAATGTCCAGCTCGGTGATTCATTTATAAACACTTTTAATTAAAATTTGTTTATCAATATTGAAATTTAGTATTTACTTAAAGCTTGATGCGATGCTAACAAAGTATTTTAAATGCATTATTTTCTTATAAAAATTTACTTTTTCAATATGGTATACACATCTAGCATAAAAACAACATTATGACAGTACTGCGGCCGTACTGTATATTTGTAAATACTGTGTATTTGTAGGCAGTACTACTGCCTACAAATACACAATTATGTAAAATTCCATAAACTAGTAAAGCGCAAAATCGTTAATAACTGACAAAGCTTGACGCCATAATAAAGTAACCATGTTTTTATGATGGCATAGGCGTCACAGCCAGTTTAATAATTAAGAGGGGAAAAATTTAACGTATAATTTATAATACAGCGCCCTCTACAATTTTGTCTGTCATTCATTCATGGATTTGGATGAAGTACATTTACTGCTGCATAGATTAAATACACGTATATACAAGTTCATAAAGTATGGAAACACGTCAATTGTTACAATAAAAACATTAGAAACCTTTTTCCTTACTTTTTAATCATTCTATAGTGTGTATAATCTATGCTGTGATTGATTGGCATAACCGAACAATTTCAAAAATAGAATAATTATGAATCGAATTATTCTCGTATTCGAAATAATCAAATTTATATTAAATAAAAGTTGAATTTAAAATAATTTTAATCAATCCTACTATTAATAAAAGTAATTAATCGTTTATATTTTTTATCATCTGAGATAATCGATATCAATCCCAATAGAATAGTAATAAAGTAGTCGTTTTTATACATTTCTTTTAGAATAAAATATTACTTTTTAAATTATTTCATTTTAGAAATATCAGAAATAATGAATGGTTTAAAAAAAAATGTTCATGTTACTTCCAATATAAATATGATTTTTAATACAATATATTATAAAAACAATAAAAAAGAGTGAATTGAAAAATCAATAATTAAAACAATCCTATTGTTATTGTAATAATTGAAATAATTCGTTAATGCCAATCACGACTTATTGCTATTAACCTCAAATATAAATCGTATAAAATATAATTTTATATTTTCCAAGTTAAGAAATAATTGTTATAAAATAAAATAGTATGGGATATTTTACTATAATTGAAACAGTAATTTTAAAAGCGACATTAGACATAAAATTTAAATTTTACTCTAACCATAAAAAACTTCATTACTTCAGAAGTTCAACTTATTTTGTACTTGGACCTATTTACTAATTTATTTTTAGGAATTTTAATATTTATAATCCATAATTTAAGCTATTTTTACTGTGACGATAATTCATTAAATTGAATTAAAACATAACTTGCATCATTTTTAAAGAGAATAAAAATTAGGTCAATAAATAATCAAATACAGATATTATTACACAAACTAGTATAATTTTTATGATAAAATATAGTACTTAAAATAAATTAAATAATAAAATGTAGTTCTTGTTCAGAATACATAACTCTTATATTATCAGATTTGACAGTCATTTTTGAAATGACTGATTCAATTAAATTTTTTTATTGTTTTACTTTTATAAAAATAACTTAAGGGTAGGTCTTTTATAAATGTCACAGATTATATTATGAAAACTATTTTCATATAATCTATATAAGAGTTGTTCTGTAAGTAGCCATCTAATGATGGGAGATAAATGTCTGTCTTCCATCAATATAGCTTCTATAAATAATTAAATTTATAAAAATTTTATCTAATTTATTATTAATTAATTAAAATTTTATGACATTTAAAGTTATTTTTGTTTAAAAACAATATTTTCAATACTTTAAATAATATGTTCAATTATAAAAATACACAAGTCTAAAATTTTTTTTTTTTTTAACTTTGCCTTTTCTGTTTAATGAAAAGCTAATTCTTAAAAAAAAGGTTCAAGTAAAAAAAAGAAATGTATTTAAGAATTTCGTTTTTTTGCAACTAAACAACTTAAATATTCTCTTGTAGTCATCTATGTAAAATTAACTCTTTTTAAAATATGCTATTTTAGTATCAAATTTTCTTTAAAGACTAACTTAAAGTGATTAATGTTACTATGTTGAACATATAAACCTCATAATAAAAAAATCCATCTTTTAATAATATTTTTGAAAACAAAAATATATTTTTTTACCAACTATACCTACATTACAAGAATGTTTAAACACGTCAAAATCATATCACATAATTATAAAAAAAAAAATTAAAAACTAAAGAAAAATGATTAATTATTTATTTTATTTAACGACTATAATAATGAACTTATTAAGTACAATACTATTAGTATTAAACGAAAAAATGTATTAATAATCTGAATGTGTAAATAGAATAAAAATTAATATTAATGAATACAGATTAAAGAGATATGAGATAATTATTTCAACTCTAATGATAGTTTAAGATTTTAATTATACATCCATAAACATTTAAAGTTATTTTTTCAGCTCTATTCATTATTTTATAATAACATTAGTAATAACTTTGTAGTACTTAAATACTCAACTCATAAAACCACAAATTAATTACACTACTCAATAATAAAAAAATATATATGCATATTAAAGGTAAAATAATACTATAATGTTATACATGTTATAAAATTATTTATTTTATAAAAAAATATTTTGAAATGCAGATAAAATTTTTAACTCTTAATTACTAATTAAGTTACCAAAATTAAAAATTTATTTCAAAAGTAATGTGTACATATACATTTTGTACATAAATTATGATAAAAGTAATACATTTCTTTATTAACACATTTTTAATTTGATATATAACATAAATTTAAATACTTTATTAATTGATGAAAAATTAATATTGGAAAAATTAAACAAAATATTTACTCAATAATGTTTTCTTACAATTCTAAAGTGAAAAACTTTGATCATATTAGTACATAAGTAATACTTTGTTTAAGAATAATAATAAAAAATCTATAAAATCTAACTATAAAATATAATTATAATTATATTATAACAAAATTAAACATATTTTACTAAACATCATACAACACGTGGCAGCAAAATGTTTATGACAATTTTCGAGCTCTTTATGAACCGATTAATATTTATATACATAAAAAAAATTATTAATATTTATTTAACAACAATTATTAACTTTTGAGCTAAAATTACATCACTCATATTTTTTCTATAACAATTAAAGTATTCATATAATACTTTAATAATAGATTCTCAATTGTTAGGCTATTGAGAATATTTATAAAGATTTCAAAGGCTACAATAACATTAAAGCAAATCAGCTTAAAAGTGAAACTAATACTAGTTTACAAGTATTAAATAAGTGATAATTAATAACATTAGATAAACATTTTTTTTTAACAGAAAAATATAAAACGGAGATTTATAAATTTTTTTATTAGTTTTCATAAGTAAAACCTTAAAATATAAAATTATTATTCTATTAGAACTATATGTAAAATTATTTTCAAATAGTACACTACACAATAACGAGTTATGTATCTGGTGTATGCATGCTACAGTTTTTTAACTTGATGATCTAATAGTAAGTGTTTTATAACTCTTATTTACATAACTTTTTCTTTTTTTTTTATGTAATAAATATCATAGTTAATTATAGGTTAACCATTTAAAACAATATTTACTAAGTCACTTTTGGTATATAATATTTTTCATATAAATAAATTTAATATAATATTATTGCTTCGATACATTTATAACTTGTTAAAAATTTTTAAAACATTACTAGGGTATATATATAGTTAAATTTTGAATGAAATAATTAAGAGTTATTTGATTTCTTAAAGCCATGTATGAAAATTCTACTTTTATGCTTAAAACCATATATATAGTTGTATATGTGTTTGTACAAAACATTTTATTAAAAATTAGGATTTTAATTAATAAAGACTAGATGGAATCTGTTTTAAGAAAATTCACAAATATAATAATTATAATGGTATATCTATTTATAAAAATATTCATAATTAAAATAGCAAATAATTCAGGAATAAGCAATAAACAGTTTTAGTGATTAAAAAAAATAATACAAATAGTAAGTTTGACTACTTTAGAAGTTCGTGAGCCCTCTGATTGGCAACTGATATTCGTGTTTCATTAGATCCAGCCTAGAAAAAAAAAAACAATGTAAAATTTGAAATTTTGTTCAAAAATTTCTATTTCATCTTTTTATTATGTTGATCATATAACTACAGGATGATTCATTAAGGAATAAGACAATCATTTTTCATATTACACTTTCTCGACAATTTAATTATTTTCATCATTATTATCACATTTAATAACTGTTATTATCGGCTTATGATAACTAAAAAATGATACAACGGGCGCGCACACTTATACAATTATACTTGATTAAAAGTTTTACATTTGTTAGTGTCACTATTTTTACGTGTTTACTCCTATTATTTAAGTGGAGAAGCGCACACATACAGTGTACGTCATACACTTATATATATTTATACATATAGAATATATCTAACTAACTCATTTCATTTGTCATTTACTCCCATGAATTCTAAAGCCTTCCATAGAAGCTTTCACTTTAAGCAACTACAAAAATGAACTCACTATATTTTGACTATTTATAGAAAAATATACTTCTCTAAATTAATTATAAATACCTCAAAGATTGATTTTTATAACTTATCAGCTTTTAGATATAAGCTACAAAATTATAGTATATTTTATATATAAATGGAAAAATAATCACATTTGTTAAAGAGTTTTATTATGTCTATGCTATTCATTAATTATAATATTGATTCATTACTTTTGTTTTTTATTAAAATTTAATTTTTGTAATATGATAATAATTATTATACTAAAATAATCAAAATTTGTTAGCTATTAATAATAATAAATTATCATTTTTTGATTTATTAAAGATTTAATTTATAAAATAGGATAATAATTTTACCTTCATGTTTATTCGAGACACTTGTCTATTTTGATTTTCTAACTCGCTTCCCATATCCAGGGCCATGTTGCGAAGATTTCCTATCATGGTATTCACTTGTCCCATGTTTTCTTCCATTTCATTTTCTCGAGCATCATTTGTAATTCTAAAATAAATAATTTCAATATAATAATAAATTAAAAAAAGATTCCTTGATATGAAAAAAAAAATTTAGAGTTTTTAAGTTTAGATTAAAAAAAAAGTGAACAGATTTAATCAAGCGATATGTTGACTGATAGTTTGTATTTTGGTAAGGCAACATTTCGAAAACTTTGGAATACAATGTTTACTTGAATAATTTGTAAGATTTTTTGAATTATAATACCAGCAAGATTTTATTTGTGAATATAAAAATATGTATGCTGATTAGAGATTTTATAAGAAATTTATCACCTAGCTATCAGCAAAAAGTTTCAATATGTATAGAAGTACTCAACATGAGTAATAGGATCAGAAACAGTTAATAAAACATTTAACTTTTCATCTGAATATTAGAAGTTGAAGAAAATGAAAAGGCACACACCATGTTCAATTTTATTATAAACAAATAAGTATACTAAAAGATTAATAACAGAGAGAAAGGATATGAACCCATTGAAATTCCAGTTTTAAATCTGAGAAAACTGCCTTGCAAGATTAGAAAAATAAGAGAAAATTCAAAGTAACAAAAACCATTGGTCAGTTTTACATAAATAATAAATTAATAATTTATATATACAAAGTATTCTAAGATGTTCTGACATCTCTTATAACTTGTGATCCAACTTAATTTTGTTGAACTATTTTTTTATATAATTATTACCTTTTAATCTGCGTTCAAAGAAATTTTTTTATTATTTATCACTTATAAGAAAAGAATAAATAAAAAATGTTATTTTAAATTTTTTCAAAATTTTAAAGCAACCAAGTTTTAGCAATTTTCCTATAAAAAAACTTAGATTGGGGATAACAACTTTAAAAAAAGTAATTATCAAGTTATAGGCATTTTATTATATAGGGTGGGTATTAGGGTGGCCCTCAAAAATCGAATGTCTTTTTTTTTTTTACGCTACCCCTTAATTTTTTTTTAATGGTCAAAAAAATGAGCTGTGCAAAATTTGGGACCGATCCGTTAAGGTTAACCCGTGCCCCCGGGCCTATTAAGTTGAGTCGAAGAGTCAAATTTAATAGAAATAACTGATCTATGTCTCATAACTTTTTTTTCTCTTAACTTAGAATAATAAAAGTAAAACTCAAGTAAAGGAAATTTTACAAGAAATTCAAAAATAATAACTTCAATGTTGTTTTCTCAATAAATAGCCCACAAAAACACTACATACAGTAAAAAACATGTAAAAGTCTTAAAATACGTTATAACTGATTTTGTTGATTTTTAATTATTTATTTTCATTTTATTTTTTGGAAAACGCATTTTCGTTTAAAAAAAGA